GTTTTTTTTTTTGTTTATTTTTTTGTTTTTGTTTTTTTTGTTTGTTCGGTTTTTTTGGAGAGCCCAAAAGTCATGGAACAGTCCCCCGGCGGATCTCACCGACACGGCTGCTGCCCGGTAAGTCCCTGCAGTCTCTTCCTCCCCGTTCCCCAATCCTGTTTCTCCCTGCACGGGCGCGTGGGACAGTGGCACAGAAGGTGGCAGTGCCTTGGGACGTGCCAGCCGACAGCCTGGACCCCCTCTCCACACCCTGGCACCCCGCGGGCCTGAGGCCGAGCCTTGTGAGCGTAGCTGGGGGAGAATCGATGCCGCGGGGAGCTAGAAGCCAGCGTGCTGCACGGACCTGCGCCTGTGCCACTCTGTTAGTGTGGCATGGCGGGCGGGTTCATGAGCTCTGCTAAGAGGCTGGGTGAATTAGCCTGTGTGGTGCCCCCCTGTAGCCCCCTGGTTGGGAGTCCCAGGGGATCCAGGCTGAGCAGCAGGCCCTGGGGGGATTTCCATCCCCTCTGCTTGCTGGCCAGTGTACGGGAGGTGCTGGCAGCAGTTCCCTGGAGCGTCGGACACGTCGGACACGGCTCAGTGCTGGCGGCTGAGCTGCAAGGCCAGATCCTGCCTCGGGCAGCTCCCAGGGGCTGGATGGGGCAAGAGGAAGGGAAGGGATTTTGGCCGTAGGTCTGCCTCCCCTGCCCTCGGCATCTGTGTCAGGGGAGCGGGTCCTCATCTGAGCCAGAGCTGAGCCCCCTCTGGCTGCCCCGTGGGTGCCCATTGTCTCCGTTTGGAGCTGGGTCGAGCTGTCGGAGGGGAGCTTTAGGGTCTATGCAGGGTTGGGTCCAGTCTGTGTGTCCATGGGCAGCGCTCCCAGTCCTGTCCTCCAGATCACAGCTCCCACCCTTTCCAGACAGCTCCCCCCACCTCTAGCTTGTGCCCCTCCCCATCTAGCCTGGCGCCCGGGCGGTTGTTGCCAACCCCCCACCCCTGCTGCAGCCCTGGCCTTGGCTCTCTGCAGTGTGGCCAGCCTGGGCTGCGTAGATAAAGCCCTGCAGCCATCTGCTAATCCTCCCACAGCGCCTAATTGATGGGGCCAGGTGTGCGCAGACACCCAGCACCCAGCCCCCCCTGCTCCCTTCCCCCAGCCCCCTGCCATGAAAGGGACCCCCATGCCCGGGAATCCCAGAGCCCAGGGGCACCAAAGGGCACGTCCTTTCTAATCAGGATGTGGTTAGTGCCATCAGGGCCCAGGTAATCAGGTGCTAATTGTGTGCCAGGTTTATTTCTCCCCGGCTTGTTGGGTTTTGGGAAGGGGCTCTCCTTTAACAATCAATCGATATTGAATTAGCATACCAGAACGGCCTTATTAGAGGCATGTTAAGTGCTGTTTGAGGCTGGTGATCGTAAATGGGGGGGTGGGGGTTATATCTTTTTAACCCTTTCTCGGGCAGGCAAGGTGCTCCGAAGGGCTCCCATAGGCCAGGGGTTAGTAGCCCGGAGGGACAGCTTCGCGGGGAGGAGGAGGGCACAGCCAGCTGAGTTCAACCCAGGGCAGTACACCGGGCTTCCCAGCCAGGTTGGCTCCTGCCGACACTTCGAGGGTTGCAAAGACCTTGGCAAGACTTGTCCCTCGAGCGCCTTCGCGCTAGGCGCTGTACAAGAGCAGAACCAAAAGGGTGATTGGAGGGCACTGGCTCAGCCCCACAGGCCTCCATGCCCGAGGTAGCACGTGGCCCTTGGTGGAGGGGGTGCATCTACAGTGCTAATTTCCTCTCTCATTTCTCTCCCCCAGCTTTCACAAACAAAAGAGAAGACCCCCCAGCCCGTCCCAGCCCGGCCACCACCGCAGGACGCTCTCACGGCTCCCGGCTCCCTTTGGCAACCGGAATTTTTTGGCTAGGGGCTTGGGGAGAAGGAGGTCTTTCTCCCCGAACACCCAAGTCCAGACCCCGCAACGGCGAGAAGAGCGTGCGCCTCGCCTCCCGCGCCTCCATCCGCCCTCCCGCCCCAACCCCTTCTTCATCAGAAGCAGAGCTGCCCCGGGTCTTTCCTCCCTACGGAAGCAGAGGGACTCTGTTATTATTAATATTATTATTATTATTTTTCCTGCACAAAACCAGCAATTGTAAATACTTTTGAAGAAAAGGAAAAAAAAATGTAAAAAAAAAAAAAACCGCAGAAAAAAGAGAACCACACACACACACGCGCGGAGAACAGACAAAACCAACAAATAAAGAATGAATTTCAAAATAAAATAAAAAAATAAAATAAACCCAAGAGAGGCAAATATGCAGGAAAGCAAAGCAAAAACCCGTCAGTATGCACTGAGAAAATTTATTTACAGATCGATTGACAAAAGAGAAAAAAAAAGTAACAATAACCTATTTATTGTATATACTGTTTTATTATAAATCGTGTCTTGTATATTGCATTCTGTACATCTGCTGTGGTTTTGTGATGTGCAAATTCAGCATGGGTTCATTGGGTTTCCGTTGCCTTTTTTTAAACGACAATGACGATGATTTTAGTTTTATTTTTCTTATCCGGACGAAGAATCCTTGTTTTTGGCAGTTCGCACCCAAAGATCCAGATTTGTATTAAAAAAAAAAAAAAAAAAAAAGGAAAAAAAAAAAAAGACCCCCACAAAAAAAGAAAGGAGAAAAAAAAAAGATTAAAGCAAACAACAACAAAAAACAGTGAGAAAAAGAGGGGGAGAAAAATGAATAACATGGCCTCTTGGAGGGGCGGGGGGTGCTCGTGGAAGGGGGTCCGGGGGGTCGAGGTGAAGGAGATGTCTGCGTTTTGTTTGCTACAACAGTATTCCTTCCTCCGTGCGTCCCCAGCTGCGCCTGTGATGAGCTCAGGGTGTGCGTGCCTGTGTGTGCGTGTGCGTGCGCGGGTGACACTAGTT